CAAACTTCATGTTTTTTTTTTCAACTTTGAAAATCAAACATTTGCATCAATATAACAGAAAACAACTCATGGCTCTAATACCATTGTTGGGTTTTGTATACTACAATCCTAGAAGCTTTGGATCTATGTTTTCACTAATTATACATGCAAATGGTTTCCAAAGCTTTAAGCCTACAACTAGCATACAAATGGTATAAACTACATAAAATACTAGTTAGAAGTTTACCTTTTTGTGTAGCTTGTAGAACTTGATGAATTTGGCCTTAAAGATCTTAGCCCCAATAGTGTGGAAGCCTCAAATGAAGTCACAACACATCATGGACAAAGGTGGAACTTGAGAGAGAATTTCATGCTCCCAAAAACACCCATGAAGTCCAAGAACAAGCATGTAGGCGTTTTTTAGGTTAAGAGCATGTATTTATGTGTTGGATTTCAAGGGTCATGGGTATAACCCAAATTCATACCCATGGGTTTATGATCCATGATTCATGTGGCCTAACTGTTTATGTATCCATGCATAAACTTGGTTCAACATGGATCATAAGCCAACACATATAAATATAACTAATTATCATAATTAGTCCCCATAGATTTAATTAGTCTCTTTTGATCACTAAATTAATTCCAAATTAATTCTTGATCAATACTAATTAAAACATATGATTTCATATTAATATATTATATATTATAATATATTAATAAATCATATATAAACTTTCTCTTAAGAGTCCATCCTAACAAATTATCCTGATGATATGCAACCCAAATGGACCATGCTACTCTCGGGTCGAGTACATACCAATAATAGTTATGGGCTTAGACATCTAATCCAACAATAACAACATCTAAAACCCGAATACATAATCTACTACGCCGATATTGGTTCCTTTGACCCCTAAGTACAGTGAGAAAAACTCACCTCTCAATCTGAAATGATCATTGAATAGTACACAGCTTCGAATATCAGCTCTACCGGTCACTTATCCAACAAATAGTGACCATTTCTCAATTAAAACTCAAAATACCCAAAATATCCCTATGCCAAACTTGGTCAAAGTCAAGTTCAACTACAACAGGTCATCATGCCATGGCCATCATTGGCCACATTGTAGCCACCAAATCACAAAATAGTCGAGTCTCATCCTAGCTGCAATGCCGCGGAGACCTTGGACATGCCGTGGGCACTGGGCTCCCCAACAACTTAATGGATTAAGTTGATTTCCTTGATCTTAGGGGCTCCAAAGCCTAGATTTGGTCCATTTTAAGGTCCAAGTGGATAAATTTTCCAACTTTATCCCTTTAGACTCTCTAAGGGATAGGGTTCCCTTTTATAGACTTAGAAAGGGCATGAACATACCTTTTCATAACCCATTAAGCACTTTCTCTTGAAGACTCTTTGATCCCTATTTCCAGAACGTTTATAGTATCAAATAACAACATAAAAACCCTTACTTTCTATACATGCATGTCCAATGCATTTCTTGGACTCTATTAGGTCAAAGTGAGGGTTTTTGGCCATATCTTCCATGGATGATGCTAGAACTCAATGCTAATCCAGATCCAAAGTATCTACGGTCCAGAATGACCCGAAGATTCATACAGTTTGCAACCTTATGGGATCTCACCACCCAATAATCAAGGACATGAAGTTTAAGGAATAGAAACCTAGATCCATGCACAATGAACCGAAAACATTGGAAATTAAGGACTTAAAATAGTCCAAAAGATGCACAATAAGATGGTGACAATGTTTGCTTGCTGAATCCAAGACTAGAAGTCACCTCCTTCTTCTTCAATCCCCAAATATCAACACAAAGAACTTAGAGAGCAACAATAGAGGCTAGGGTTTTCTTGGAGGCTACAAGAATATGATAGAGGCTGAGGGTAAGCAACCCTAGCCATCATATTCCCCTAAATATGGCGCAAACCCTATATATTAGGGTTTCTAATTAAACAGCTGCTACGTCGTGGCCATAGACTTTCATGTCGTGATGACCATTTAAAACCTGCGATATAACGACCATATCCACGTCGTGGGATGCCTTCACCACGACGTGGTACTACCTAAAATCCAAAATATGATAACCTAAAGTACCACCAAGGATCTAGATGTTACAAAATCATAATATCTCTTACAAAGAGTAAAAGACCCTTTACCATTCCCACTATGGACGTAACTAACCATGCGCAATGCCCAAAAATGGCCCAAATGGGTTTCAGGTGTGTACGACATGTGTATGCCCAATGTATTAGATATTCACCAAAAGGGGACACAGGCTAAACCCGTTACACCATGCGTACTTAGAGGGTACACCTAGTGTACTCGTCAGTTGGTCAAAATTGCTATTAAGCTCTTAATGCTTAAAGACCTTTCGTCCAACTCATAGATCTTACTCTAGGGAATGTCTTAATTAATAAAGTCGACTACTTTAAGCTTATGCATGTTTAATAGAGCCGAAAACCAAACCCTAAGTCCTTAACACTCTTAAGCAACCTCCAACACTTGTATGAGTGAGAAATAACATCGAAGACTTGGTTTTTATGATTCAAGATCGTTAGAAACATCATAAAGTAACTAACTTGAACTCTATAGTAGCTTATACTCACAAGAGCCAACCCTTGGGACCAAAACATGCCAAAACCATAAGCTAAATCTAGATCTATGCAAAGGAATGATAAAAGGTTGAGACTTTATACCTCCAGAAGGATGATCAAGATGAACAAACTCTGGATCTACAAGCTATGGGCTCCAACAACACCTTCAAAGATCTCTTTCTTCACTATAACACACCAAAAATCACAAAAAATCTTGAGATTCTCACAAATTAATCTAGGGTTTTATGGAGGATGAGAGAGAGGGTGGTGGCTGATGATAAGAAGGATTTCAAGGACTTAAGGTCCTTAAATATGGTCCAAGACCCTAAAATTAAGGGTTTGCATTCGCCATGAGTAAGCCCTGCGTACTCTTGGTACGCCCAACGTACCCAAGAGAGACCCCATGTCCAAGTTTAATGAGTTACGCACAATGTAACTCTCAATTATGCCCAACGTAATGGCCTTCCATGCAAAAATAAAAGATTTAAAACTTAAAGAATTTACCTAAGATCTGGGCGTTATAGTGGTTACAACAATGGTCATTTATTTTCTCTTTGCCACTTTGGCTATTATGATAAAATAATCTCTAAAGTTAGTCCACCAATGAGTAATTAGTTAAAATTACATAACGCTCATTGAACTTGTTCAATAGTTTAATTTTACCCGCTCTACATTTAAGATTCACTATTTCAGGATATTTTTGTACATTTAAAACACCATAACTATAAACTAAGAGCATACACAATGCAAGTAGTATACGAGTTGAATGAGATGATGATTATGATTGAATATGAGTTGAATGGAGTGTGTATGATGACATGGAGTAAAGTTCAATGATTATTGCATGGTTCGATGAAAATAATAAAGTGGTGATTAAGATTGAATAAAAGTTTAATAGGTTGTGGGTGTTGTTGTATAGGCATCTAATGGATGACGTGACAATCCATTAAACTCTATAGAGCTCAATGGATTATGCATGCCTTAATAAAATTCTCTAATTAATGTTTGAGTTTTACAAAGAAATAAATTTTTTTTTATTACAGTTAAAAAAAATTATAAAATCAGAAGATTTATTATGTTTTACACAACCTTTAAGTTTAAGTAAATCAATATTTAATCAATTGGTCTAGAAGATCTAATTAGATTCGGTATTTCAATATTTGTCAAAAAGTTTGGAAAATAAAAAATAAGTTTTGTAAAATCGTAGTTAGGAAAAGAGAATGACTAAAACATATTTAAAGGGATCATTTCTATAACTCCTATTATATCTTTTAACTTTTAAGGGACTTGAATGATAACATTCAGGATCGTTTGGGCAAGTTTTAAAAATAACAAATAAGAAATCAAAACCCTCCATCTCCATCTCGCTGTCCCCTTCCCCTCAAGACATCAAGAATCAGAGTGTACAGATGCTTTGAGCTCCGACAGAAATAATTGAAGGAGGGAGGCTAGTCGACTGAGGAGCGGAGGTTCCACATTCCAGTTCGATTCCGATGACCGAAACGCATATTAAGGGTTTACCGGCTTAATACTGGTCATCCATCCCTTCAACCCAAGCAGCTACCAGAAAATTCAGGTATATACGTATGCACATTGCACAATGATCCATTTTTCTGTATATACATTAATTTGGTAAAAGTTCTTTATCGTTTTGTATGCTAAATGTTCGATATTCATGGCGTCACATGGGAAGCTTGTTGTCTTCTCCTACAGATCTCAGGCCCACAAGTAACAAAACATCCAAAAGGTCGCACCGGTTCTTTAACTGGAAGTTTAACTTTTTTGCGCTATGGCCATGGAGTAGTAAAGTTAGTAAAGTTTTAGGAATTACATATGCAGCCTCTGGAAACTATTTAAATTATTTTTAGCCACTCTTCTTTCAAGGTTTGCAGTTTCAGAACTTCTTTTTGGAAAACTGTTACATCTAAAGTTTAAATATTATATGTAAAGGCATTCGCGGAATCAAATCAAATTATGTTTTATGTTTATCCTTTTGACAGACAACAAATTCTAATTATGACAACACCATTTTTTAAAGAGGATCAAAAGTCCGCTATCAAAAATTTAAAATTTCTACAAGTTGTATGGCCAAACAAATCAAGTAGACTAGTTCTTTTTGAATCGTTCAAATAAGGAATCTTAGAATCTATTTATCCCTACAATCATATCATCTTTCAGTGCTACAACCATTGACTTTTTAACAATTAGAAGAGTTCTTTTTGAATTGTTTAAATAAGGAATCTTATAATCTTTTATCCATACAAACACATCACCTTCCATTGCTATAACCATTGACCTTTTAACATACACTTTAAGCCTTTTAATTCATCTCATCCAAGTTGCTTTGCAATTGTTTCACATAAGCTTTCCCAAGCAAAGATTTGATTCTATCAAGCATACCATCAATGGCGTCTTCCTCAACTTCACCCATTCATGCGAGCTCTAAATATGATGTATTTTTGAGTTTCAGAGGAAAAGACACTCGTAAGAACTTCATTGATCATCTTTATCATGCTCTTCAACAGCAAGGCATTTACACTTACAAGGAAGACAAGAAAATCATGAAAGGGAAAAGGATCAGTGACGAGCTCATCAGATCCATTGAAGACTCAAAATTCTACCTCATTGTTTTCTCCAGGAACTATGCGTCTTCATCTTGGTGCCTGGATGAGCTTGTGAAGATAATGGAGTGTCACAATGACAAGACCACAGAGCATACTGCTTACCCCGTCTTCTATGATGTCACACCCGCCGATGTCCGCCACCAACGTGGGGATGTTAGAAAAGCCTTTGCCAAACATAAAAATAAAGAGACTGCTGGAAAATGGAGGGAGGCTCTGAAAGAAGCAGCCGATCTGGCTGGTTGGGAGTTGAAAAACACTGCTGATGGGTAATTCCTTTATCATATCTGTGCAATACTCTTTCAATCTGTTCCTATTTAATCTACTTTTAAAAGGGTCATCCATGGAATCACATGCTGTTTCGTCAAACTCTAAATCAAACTTGGAGTCTTTTATAAAAATTAAACATGAAATATGAGAGTAATTGTACACCTGGAATTTTTTTGTAAAGCTAATTGATTCTTCCTTAAAATACAACAGGCATGAAGCTAAATTCATCCAAGAAATTGTCGAACAAGTATCACTAGAGTTATGTTCAATCAATTGCAATTTTGATGAAAAATTGGTGGGCATGGAGATGCGGGTAAATGATCTTGTATCATCCTTAGAAATTGGTATTGATGATGTTCGCATGATAGGGATCAAGGGGATGGGAGGTGGTGGGAAGACAACTTTGGCCAGATCTGTTTTTGATGAAATATCCTTTCAGTTCGAAGGTGCAAGCTTTGTTGAGAATGTTAGGGAAATTTCAAGCACTTCTTTGTCAGGTTTGAAGTCGTTGCAATGTCAAATCGTTTCGGATGTATTAGATGATAAAGATATCAGCATAAGAGGTATTCATGAAGGGAAAAGCATGATGAAGAGGAGGATGCGTGGCAGGAAGGTTCTTATTGTTCTAGATGATGTAAGCCATATTAACCAGCTTGAGGCGTTAGCCGGTGAGTGTAGTTGGTTTAAGCCAGGAAGTAGAATTATTATTACAACAAGAGATGAGAAAGTATTGTTAGCACACAAAGTGACATTGATTCGTGATGTCAATTTGTTATCGAATAAGGAAGCAATTTGCCTCTTCAGTAGGTATGCATTTGGGAGCGAGATTCCAATTAAAGATTACGGAGAGCTATCAGAAAATGTTTTACGTTATGCTGCTGGTCTTCCCTTAACAATCAAAGTGTTGGGTTCTAATCTATGTGGTGAAGATAAGCCCATATGGAAAGATGCCTTGGAAAGACTAAAATCAATTCCGCTAAGCGAAACTATGAAAATATTGGAATTAAGCTATACCGTTCTAGAGGATGACCTCAAGGAAATATTCCTAGATGTTGCATGCATAATGAAAGGTTGGTCGAAAGACAAAGCAATCCAAGCACTTGAAAGCTGTGGATTTCATGCTATAAGTGGTTTAAGAATTCTTCAGCAAAAATCACTCATAACTATTTATGCCCGTGGGGACCAGGAGTATGTGCGCATGCATGACCATATTGAAGAAATGGGCAGGAATATTGTTCGTCGTTCACACCCAAACATGCCTGAGAAACATAGCCGATTGTGGAAGAATGACGAAATTGAACATATATTGGCTAATGACTTGGTAAGGATCAAGTTTATTTGTATATTGGAGAAATCTAACACTTTTTCCATCTATTATGACACAACTCTCATGTTGACTGCCATACAGAGTACTGAAGAAACAAGATGCGTACACTTCCACTTTCAAAAACTTGATCCATGTATTCTTATAAAGTGTTTTGGAAAGATGAAGGCACTTAGATTTCTTTCGATTGTTATGAAAGATTGTTCCAGGAACCTTGAACTCAATACATTTATCCCAAGCTTTCCAGATGCTTTACGATATCTTCGCTGGACCAATTACCCTTTTAGGTCTTTACCCAAAACATGTCAAGCAAATAATCTTGTTACACTGGAGATGCCTGAAAGCAAAATTGTACAACTTTGGGAAGGGGGAGAAAGAAAGGTAGAGTTATGGTTGATTGATTGTTTTTGCATGCTTCATTGTAGTGTTATGCATCCATGGCTTTTTTATGACAACAATATTCATCGTGTTTTTTTTTTTCTTATGTTAGCTTCTTGGCAAGCTTAGATTCCTTGATCTCAGTTATTCAAAGTTGAAGACCCTTGACCTTGATCTAACACCAAATCTCGAGACGTTGAATCTTGGAAATTGTTGTGATTTGGTAGAACTTACAGATGCTATCTCGATGATGGAGCATCTGAAATCTCTCAAAGTTAATGGTTGTTTGTTGCTTGAGAAGTTACCTGATGATCTTTGCCGATTAGGATGTTTAGAGAAGCTAAATTTGTCATCTACAAATATTAAACATCTTCCGGATAACATTTTCATGCTGAAAAATCTAAAGCATCTTAAACTTGATGAATGCAAGTTGCTTGAGAAGTTACCCGAGGATATTGGTGAAGTAAAATGTTTAAAAAAGCTGAGTTTGTCATCTACAAATATTAAGCGTCTTCCGGATAGCATTTGTATGTTGAAACATTTGAGAAAGCTCAAACTAGATGATTGTGAGTCACTTGAGAAGTTACCCGAGGATATTGGCGAACTAAAATGTTTAGAGTGTCTAGATTTGTCATCTACAAAGATTAAACATCTTCCGGATAGCATTTGTTCGTTGAAACATTTGAGAGATCTCAAACTATATTATTGTGAGTCACTTGAGAAGTTACCCGAGGATATTGGCAAATTAAAATGTTTAGAGTTTCTAGATTTGTCATTTACAGAGATTACACATCTTCCAGATAGCTTGTGTAAGTTGAAATATCTGTCTGATCTCATACTTAATTGTTGTTTTTCACTTGAGAAGTTACCCGAGGATCTTGGAGAATTAGAATATCTACAAGAGTTGCATATAAAAGGTGTATGCATAGATCTTCCACAGAGCATTCATTTATTGAATGGCTTGCGCATCTATGGCTCAAGATGGCTTCTTGAGTCTTTTGATTTTTCATCTGAGATACAACCCCTCGATGAAGAAAACTTCAAAGACCAAGACCAATATTACAAAATGTTATGCTATGTAGAGGTGTGAATAACACACGCACCCACAGCAGGAGTCTATTCGTGGGATGATTTTGAAAAACCTCCGAAGGACTGCATAAGCCGGTTCACATTTGCCAACTACTTTTTCAGAACCATTACAGTTTTCCCTACTTATAAAGTCACGTTTCATTTATGATCCAATAAAGTCACGTCACCAAAATTGAGAAGGCATAATTGACATACTATCTTTATGCCTATTAAAAGAAGTGATGGAAACATCACAGGTTTTGACTGGATATTAAACAGATATCGAAGTAGACGGATATAGGACAAACTGAAGATTCAAGTTATTAGTTACTACAAGTTAATTCATGGTGTTTAGCTGGCACATTTGACTTTTCCAGAAAGTCAAACTGTGTTCTTGATAAAAGTGGTTGAAATTTGATATTAGTTTGTAGATGACATGTTACAAATAAATACAGTAGTGTTTTATAAGTGATGTAAGATCATAAGAATGTTTTGGTTTGTACAATTATGTTCCAAACTGAGATGAATTAATTGCACTAAAAATGTTTGACCTGAGTCAAACTATTGACTTTCATCAAGCTCACTATGCTTTTAAGTTTTTACTTAATTGTAATTAAGAATTCATTTGGCATTGTTTACTAGTGTCAGAGGAAGATATTGGGGATGTTTTAATAGACTGGTTATGTTCATGATTATTTTGGATAATTTAAATTTGGACAAAATATTCAAATGCAAGAACAGGGGATGAAATTGAATCATCACAATATAAAGCGACTGTTGCTTTTTTCGATAGGGGTAAAACTGAAATCATCAAAATATGAGGTGATACTAGTTCATATATCTTCTTCACTGTTTCTCCTTCATGTTAGGTGTATACATTTGTCAAAGTTCGTCATTTTTAAGCTTATCAAATTTTCAGCCATGTTTGCTTCCTAATCTGACATCATGTTACACTCCAACATTGACACGAAAAGAAGCTCCAAAGTTCCGTCATTTTTAAGCTTATCAATTTTTCAGCCATGTTTGCTTCCTAATCTGACATCATGTTACACTCCAACATTGACACGAAAAGAAGCTCCTCAAATGAGTTCGATTTTGCATCTAACCAGTAATTTAAATAATGGTTGTTAGTTTATATATATATATATATATATAAACTAACAACCATTATTTAAATTACTGGTTAGATGCAAAATCGAACTCATTTGAGGAGCTTCTTTTTGTGAGACGGTCTAATTTTGTGAGACCGTGAGACACATTTTTTTATTTCTTTATTTTTTTTAGTTAATTTAAGTTCCAAAAATAATATTTAAAAAAAGAATTTTTTGGATTTTTTCATTTATTTTGCATTTTAAAATTATTTTATAAAATATATACAGTGTGATATTCTATTAGAATATTTCAAGTATTTTTCAAAAAAAAAAAACGGGATTTTTTTTTAAATTTTTTTTAGTTAATTCAAGTTCCGAAAATAATATTTAAAAAAAGATTTTTTAGATTTTTCCATTTATTTTGCATTTTAAAATTATTTTTTAGAATATATCAGTGTAATATTGTATTAGAATATTTCACGTATTTTTTAAAAAAACGGGATTTTTTTAAATTTTTTTTAGTTAATTCAAGTTCCGAAAATAATATTTAAAAAAATAATTTTTGGATTTTTCCATTTATTATGCATTTTAAAATTATTTTTAGATTTGGTTTCACGATCTCACAAAATTAGAATGGTCTCAAATGAACCTGAACATATACATATACATATACATATATATATATATATATATATATATATATATATATATATATATATATATATATATATATTTTAAAAGTGTTAATTTTTCATTACATAATAATTAATAATAAAATTTAATAATTATTTCCTGTAAGAAAAAGTATTCACTAAAAAACTATTTATTATTATTATTATTATTATTATTATTATTATTATTATTATTATTATTATCTCTAAATATTATTAAAAAAAGAAACTTTAATTCACCAATAAAGCAATCAGGGCTATTGATTGTGTTTTAATACTCTGTTTTTCACCATTAAGTCAAATTGCAGACATTATCTTCTCCAAATAAAATTCCCACACAATTACATTTAATTATAGAATCTGTAATAATTATATAATCTTTAAATTCAATAATTATTACATTTATCAATTGAAACATATTATTCTATTTATATATATGATATTAGTTTCTCTAATTAATATTATTCATAACTTAACTCTTTTATTTATAGATTTTGATTTCCAAATTTAATCCCGTGTATATTTTATTATTTATTTATTTATTTATTTTAAATCTCATTAAACAAGCATATCAATAATTAAGTTCTTCTCAAGTTCTTTTTTCCAAGCTCTTACTTTACTCTGTTCTCCTTATTCTTCTTCAATTTCTTGCATTTACTATGTTCTTATTATTTGTTATTACTATGTTCTTATTGAGAGGTCATGAAAAAAAAATTAATCAATCTACTTTAAGCATATTAGTTTCATTCATTTAGTTATAGAAACAAAATTATACCATTTATATCGAGTTTTTAATGTGTTGACATATGTTTGTCAAGAGAAAGCCATAAAATTCGTTTTAATGCATGATGACAAAGCTAGTGGAACGGACCAAAAGCAGGATAAATAAGTTTTTTATTGTTACACTTCAACTTGCATGAACAAACACGTATCTGTTGTTCCAAGGTTTTCGATAACTCTTTTATACATATTATTATAATCTTCGATTAAATTTTCTAAATTTATATTATTGAATTTTTTTTATATCAATGGTTTTACTTTCAAAATCACTATTATAGTATAGGACTTTACCGGCATTGTGTCACTTATGTTATTTGATCGTGACGCAAAGAAACTTCTGGAAAAAAAACACACAAGAGTTGCTTCTAAAGTTTAATGAGGTTATCGATATTAACTTCATTTACATAAAACTAATTTATACTTTTTGTCCGTCTATTTTATAACTGTTATTTTTTTTTTTTTCATTTTTAGGAGGGTAATATGAAGATTTATCCGTTTACTTTTAAATTACTTTTGGATAAAAAGTTGGCGTTCAAAATTCAAATTTCTCATTATAATTTGAAAAAACAATATTGATAATAAAATCACAGTTGAACTAGAAAAAGAAAATTAACATCAAACATATAACATTCTTTTACGAAACATACTACAAACACTACACTTATTATGTTCGTTTTTTATATTTTAGTTGATCAACTAATATATTTCTATGTACTACAAATATAGGAGCTGTAATCCGATTTGTTTAACGTTTTATCAGTAAAATTAGGATGTCAAGATATATTAAATTTAAAGGTTTTAAATATAATATAACTAAATCTAATATTTTAAATATTTTATAATATTATTAACTTTTAGATTGACATATGAATTTATTGTCTATATTTAGGATGCAGTTTCGTTTATTAGTGATAACGTTATTCTCGCTTCGAATATTGATGAAAGTATTGCAACAAGTCCACCAACTAAGTGGACATCCTTTAAAAAAGTGTCTAGACATGAAGAATTAAAACACAACCTAGAAGATGTTTATGATGTCGATAATCTGGAAACAATGTCCTCAACCAAACGATCATTAACATCAATGACAGATCGTACTTCTGGAGAAGGCAAGCCAAAACAGTTAATTCCAAAGAATGAAAAATAATATATGATTTTCATGATTTTATATAAGTAGTTGGGTGATTTGAATACAGTTGATTTCATATTATGTTTACATACTATTTAGTTTTTGGGTTTGGTTTTTAATTACTTTGTTTTATAGTATTCGTTTTTTGGGTTAGAATTGTATCATTTAAATACATTTTTGGTTTTATGAAATGTTAAATTATTCATCTATTTTCCTCTTGGGTTTAAACTCATGAATTTAGAATTTTAATCATATTTTACTTTATTATTCCTTTTGAATGTGAATTTGTCAGTATTGTTACAATGTTATTCATTACAACTTCAATATAAATATTAACAAACTATAACTTTTTATGAAATTATAAACTTTTATAAATCTTCTAACCATTCTAAAACAATTATTTATAGTTTCATGTGAATTTATTGATAAATTTACTAGTAAACATCTACCATTGAAATATTATTATTTTTTAGATATTAATGATATCCTTAATTTTACAGATTTAAATAATAAAACCCATTACAATGACGCTTGAGAGAGGTGAAGACTAAGACGTTTACATTTTTTTGGAAAGGGAACTCCCCTAACGACGGTTTCCGAACCATCTTTCATGCACCAACTAATCCTCGCTGCGAACATGAGGCTATGCCTCATGCACTGGAGTCACTGTAGGCGAACCTCCATGGCCACAGAGCCTGAGTAGTTCCAGGATATGAATATGGGTCAATAGGTTATCCACCATATCTTCCACATGTCTTACTAAGTCACCACAACTCAAGTGTAAGACATTTACATTTACAAAATAGAATATTGAGTTATATGTCTAAAAGAGAAGCTTTATTTCATCATCTATATCAATAAATATTTTTGATTGTGTTTCACTTATACCTTTTCCACCCTTAGATCAAATTGTTTACGCCATCTTGACCAATGTTTGGTCGAACACGTTGTCCATCAATGTTTCCGCTCAAACCTTCACCAATTTATGTTATCCCTAAAATAAAATTCAAATCCTCCCCAAATTTAAAGCCATAGCTAATGCACTGACCAACCTATATGTTTGCAAATCAACGTGATATATCTTCTTAATTAGTCGATTTCTTTCTCAGTGTACATCGATGGTACCAAAATTCATCAAGGGCAAAACAGTAACCTTATATTTAATTCTTATTAATATAGTAAATACTTCCAATTTGAAGATAATAATTGGTCTCATACATGTTAAATTACAATTGCTCGATTTCCAACTATCTAACTCAATAACTTTATGTAATTATTCTTTACCTTACCTGTTTCTATAACGTTATTGATTAGATTTACTATAATGAAGTTTAAATTGTAGAGGTTTTTA